CCCCCCCCCCCCCCCCCCCCCCCCATAATTCTCCTTTATATTACTTGATTTCCTGCAGTTTTGGGGATGATACATAATGACACCACTAGAAATATTTAATGGCTCCGGGTTGGGTGTGGGGCCTTATCTCTCAGATCCTGTGGTAGAAATCCTCCTTTTATAATGCAGTTTGTAGAGCGCCGTGCTGTCCGGTCGCCCTCGTAATTGATGAGCTTTCCACAGCTCATTCATTATTCAGATGTTTGTCTTCGGAGGAGTCATGCCAGGTGAGATCACCATGTACCGGTTCTCACCAGCCATACAGCCAATGTTATACTTTACCCCCATCGTGTCACTACGACTCCATTTAACTTATATCATTGCTACACAAACCTTGACTACTGGGGTCATCACCCCCCAATTATCCCCAATAAATACACGGACTGCTCTACATGAATTGGAAATGGCCACAGCAGCCCTTTATTAAATCAGAACTCCAGGAATTAACCAAATTAACCCTTGCAGTGGAGCTACCACCCCACTGCAAGGGTTAACTGCTCGTTTTGGTCTAGGTCAAAGAAGATATATTTATCTGATCCGCGGTCCTGCCTGGCTGTTTGACCGTTCCCGCACCGTCTTCTCCCCAGTGGTCTAAGCCTGGATGATGTCATCATGTCTAATGCAGTTCCATTCACCTGCATTAGATATGAGGACGCCTAGGAACATACCACAGCCGGAGCGGACTTAGAAAGAGATGAGCGCTGACCACAGCAGGACCAAGGATCAGGTGATTATATCTTCTGTTTTCGGGCCCCTAGGGTAGCCCCACTGCAAGGGTTGATTTGGTTAATTCCTGGAGTTCTTCTTTAAACCACAATGGAACAATTAAAAAGTTTAATAAAATACCAAAACAAAATACTCCAACCCGATAAATGATTAGACAAGGGTTGGAATCTAAGAGGAGGCCACTAGCCTAAGGGCTTGGTATGCTCCAATCCTGTCCACACCGGCTCGAGGACATCTCCAAATTGACCATTTTCTTCCTTCCCAAGGGATCGAGCCCACAGTCAACACAACCGATACCAACAGGGGAAGCACCATTCTACCAGACAGGCCGCATGTTTTGTAACCATCCCACAAGTCCACAGACCCCCAAAGACCTCCTAACCCACCAAGTTGGTGTGACAAATCTTTCCATAATCTGGCGCAGCTGATGTACAAGAAATGAGCGAGGGCGCATGGGACAACTTTCTCCTCTCGTCAATGCTTCAGGAATGATCTACCAGCAATCACCACAGTGGCTCCTTCCAACCCCTTGAGCGTCAAACTCCACTCAGGTAAGGCCTCCTTCATCTACACTCTTCTCAAACATTTTAACTACTTTGTGGGACTTCCCTCCCCCAACCAGTCATGAAGCCCGTCCATTAATTTCATTCCTCCAGGTCTCTCTTAGGTTAAGTTCACACAGGCAGCAAAGGGGCAATAAAAACAGGTGCATTAACATGCTGGCCGCTCATGACTATCTACACTTCCGGGGCCATGATGCTTCGCAGTGCACCATTTGTGGTATGGTGGAAAGGATTCCGGGGACTGTTGTCAATAAACACTTCTGATTTTCATGACACGATGTCTATGGTTTCAAGTGCTGCCAATCCATTTGTTGTCCCATCCATTTGTTCAATATATAGATGAGGATCTACACTATATTGCCAGAAGTATTGGGACGCCTTTACACGGACATGAACTCTAATGGCATCTCAGTCTTAGTCCGTAGTGTTCAGTATTGGGTTGGCTCCGCCCTTTGCCGCTATAACAGCTTCAACTCTTCTGGGAAGGCGTCCACAAGGTGTAGGAGTGTGTCTATGGGAATGTTGAACCATTTGTGAGGCCAGGTACTGATGTTGGGGGAGGGGCTCGCAGTCTCCGCTCTAATTCATCCCAAAGGTGTTCTATGGGTTTGAGGTCAGGACTCTGTGCGGCCAGTCACGTTCCTCCACCCCAAACTCCCTCGTCCATGTCTTTATGGACCTTGCTTTGTGCACTGGTGCGCAGTCATGTTGGAACAGGAAGGAGCCGTCCCCAAACTGTTGCCACAAAGTTGGGAGCATGAAATTGTCCAGAATGTCTTGGTGTGCTGATGCCTTAAGAGTTCCCTTCACTGGAACTAAGGGGCCAAGCCCAATGGAGGTCTGTAGCTATTGACTCTGCAGACAGTTGGCGACTTCTGCGCACTGTGCGCTTCAGCATGAGCTGACCCCGCTCTGTCATGTGACGTGGCCTACCACTTCCTGGCTGAGTTGCTGTTGTTCCCAGTTGCTTCCACTTTGTTATAATACCAGTAACAGGTGACCGTGGAATGTTTAGTAGCCAGGAAATGTCACGGAACACCCGAATCCGATGATTTGGAGGGGGAGGGGCCCAATACTTTTGGCAACATAGTGTATAAAGGGATCTCTGCAGCTGAGCCGATAAACCTCCGGCTCTTTATTAATTATTTTTCAAAATGCAGAGACGGAAAAATACTGCTCTTCCTTTTATCGTTCTTCACGTGAGACTTAATGAGGGAACAGATTTTAAAAAATCAATGAACCCCCCTCAGGGGACGGAATTACGGGACTAATGAGCTGGACTCAGGGAACTGGAAGGGACCTCAATTACTGGATTCTGTTTTATTTGTGGCGTTTATTGATTCCGCCAACTGCCAAATCTGCACCGGGCGATTTCCATATTTCAGGAGGTGAAAGTCACCCCACCAAATCTATCATACGCTGAACTCTACTGACTTTGCCCCCGTCAGATATTCCTCCGGTAAGTTATATACTTATAGAGAAGGAAGACTGCAGGTGGACCTGCCGTGGTAGCAGTTGGCTTCTTTCTCCATTGTCTTCACCGACCTGTCCAATTTTTGGCTCTTTCCTTCACTTTTTGCCTGCCCGTTTTCCGGGTGGGTGCGCCCAGATCAGGAGCACTTTATGGGTTGGTCCACCACATTATAGTTCCGGATCCCAGGGAATTTTGCAGAATGCAGATCATCCCCTAGTAAGCAGTGTACTCTTCAGTGACTGTACATACTACAGGGAGCTGGCGGCATACCGACTGTCACATTGCAGCTGCAGACTTGCAGCAGAGCTGTTACTTGTAGTTCTACAAGTATATACATACCTCTTACCCCTGGTTCTGCAGGCATGCAGGGCTGTACAGTTGCTTGTAGTCCTCCATGCATGTGCTCTGAACCCAGAGGTGGACTGGGCCGGGGGGCAGGGTGGCAATTGCCCCCCGGGCCTCACAGACCCGCCCGCCTGCATCCACACGCCGCACCTCCTCCCCGCCTCACGCTTGCCGCTGCCAGCCCTTATCTACACTCCACACGCCGCACCGCCCCAGTGCCCGCCCGCATCCACGATCGGCACAGCGACGCGGGGAGAAGTAAGGAGGAGCAGGCGTGAGGGGATGACAGCCGCCGACAGACAGGCCCGATCTCAGAAGCAAGTTGCTGGAAGACTGCTCAGGTAAGCCTGCACTGCCCCACATGGTGCTCTATAATGTATTGCTGGAATAGTGGGATTTGTAGTCCTCTATAGCTTGCGCTGTACTGTATATTATACCATCAGCTATAGAGGACTACAAATCCCAGTAATACATTGTACACTGTATGTATAATGTATTGCTGGGATTTGTTGTACTCCTCTATAGCTGGTGGTATTCTGCATTGCGCTGTATAACTTACTTTTGCTGGGATTTGTAGTCCTCTATAGCCGGAGCCATTTTGCATTGATTGCTGTATAATTTTACACTTTCCATTTCACTATATTGCACACCACACTTTTTTTTTTTTTATTTCCACCACTCCAAGCTCCAATCACAGTACAAACTAGTAGTCCATCACTGGAGCCATTTAAAAAAAAATATAATCAGATTAATTGAACTTAATAATCGGCTAGCTAATCGATTTTGAAAATAATCATTAGCTGCAGCTCTAGATGAATGGTCACCCTACACCAGGGATCCCCCACTAACCACCAGGGAGCCTCCACTAACCACCAGGGAGCCTCCACTGGCCACAGTGGAGCCCCCACTACCCACCTGGGAGCTACCACAGAGCCACCACTAGCCATTTTGCATTGATTGCTGTATAATTTTACACTTTCCATTTCACTATATTGCACACCACACTTTTTTTTTTTTTATTTCCACCACTCCAAGCTCCAATCACAGTACAAACTAGTAGTCCATCACTGGAGCCATTTAAAAAAAAATATAATCAGATTAATTGAACTTAATAATCGGCTAGCTAATCGATTTTGAAAATAATCATTAGCTGCAGCTCTAGATGAATGGTCACCCTACACCAGGGATCCCCCACTAACCACCAGGGAGCCTCCACTAACCACCAGGGAGCCTCCACTGGCCACCACAGAGCCCCAACTAACCACCAGGGAGCCTCCACTGGCCACCAGGGAGCTACCACAGAGCCCCCACTGATTATTAGGGAGCCTCCACTGGCCACCAGGGAGCTACCACAGAGCCCCCACTGATTATTAGGGAGCCCCCACAGATCTTGCACTGACCAGCAGAGAGCCCGCATTGGCCACCTGAGAGCCTAATTAGGGAGTCGTCTCTGCTGCACTCACACGCACCCGTGAAACTCTCTGGACCCCTGGTGAGAGCCCGCACAACACTCCTGAGACCCTGGAGACATCAGGCGACGAACCCAGAGCAACAGAGTATGTAGCTTCATATTATTCTGCATCGCTGTAATATGTGTTGCTGGGATTTGTAGTCCTCTATCGCTGATGCTGTTCTGCATTGCTGTATAATGGTATTGCTGGAAATTGTAGTTCTCTATAGCCAATGCCATTCTGCAATGCTGTATAATGTGCTGAGATTTGTAGTCCTCTATAGCTGGTGGTATTATTCTGCATTGCTGTATAATGTATTGCTGAGATTTGTAGTTCTCTAGAGCCAATGCCATTCTGCATTGCTGTATAATGTATTGCTGAGATTTGTAGTTCTCTATAGCCAATGCCATTCTGCAATGCTGTATAATGTATTGCTGAGATTTTTAGTCCTCTATAGCTGGTGGTATTATTCTACATTGCTGTATAATGTGCTGAGATTTGTAGTCCCTCTACAGCTTGGAGTTAGTGGCAGAACTACCAGGGTCGCAGCAGTCGTACACGCGCACAGCACTGGCGAGGCATCCCTCCGCTACCAGTGTGCTATAAGTTTCCTCAACCCGTACTCTACCGCGTCTCTTCCAGGTGCACATGCCATGAAGAAAGGGGGGTCAGGAAAACAGCTGAATCGGAAGACTCGGCCCCACTGGAAGTGACACAGTCGAGAAAATGTATGGGGTAGAGAAAAATTATAGAACACTGACACTGTCCGGCCCCTCCCACTAACCTCCCACAGGTCACAGCCCAGAGGCATGGACAGCCAGAGGCGGTCTACAGTGGGTGAGAGTTCCTAAGTCCCAGACATAGAGCGGAGTAAGGCCAGAACCATGTAGGGAGCCCAGTGGGTGGAGAGCACCATCCCCCAGCCAGTCGTCCCTTACATGAACTTACTAGGAGTCCTCACATCTCCCGACCATTCACACTACCTTTACATGGAGGGCAAAAGTGGCAGCCAGGGGCGGGGAGAAGGCGGAGGAAGACAGAGTGGGAGGGGGGCCAAGTTGCTGCACCATGGGCCTCTGGGTTGTACTTGCCCCCTGGGCTAAAAGTTGCCAGTCAGCCCCTGGTCTGTGGGGTAGCATTCTGCAGAGAGAAGAATGTAGCGGTTGGCCAGGACTGTTAGCCAGAGCAGACGTGTAGTGTCACAAAGGAGGTAGAGCAGGAGCTCCCGAAAGTGACGCTAACACCGCCTGCCCTGGCCAACAGCTTAGCATTCCAGAGCTCTGCCTTTCCTTCTGAAATGGGGGGTCTGAGGTTATCACACAACAGATCTGACGAAATGTTTCCAATGGACAGACCATAAATGGAGCAAATACGTCAAGTCAATTGTTAGAGTTTATATAGCCTTCTATAGTTCTCGATATCATGAGGCCATGAATAAACTGTAACATCTGGGGGTCTCTGACATTCCTGCCTTTATGCTGAATGAGAACCCCAGAGTGCGGTCATCTCAAGACCCGAGGCCCATCTGCTCTACAACATACATTGAGTGTGACTCAAACTCTTCTAGCGCCCATCACCTTTTGTGATGTGACTACTATGCATTTAGTGATAGCCGGGACTGTAGACAGCCTGGCTGGATTTGTAGTAGCAAGTATATGGTTAATCCCGGGTGTCTAGCATTGCCTGTACCCCCCTGGGCGGAGTGTGACTCTGTCATATTGTGGGACAGCCAATGGTGGATACTGTAATATGTGTACAGTACAGCAGCCAACCACTGGGCTTCTCTCAGTGAGTGGTGCCTGCTGGGAGAGTGTACATATATAGGTGGGAGCTGCCATGTGGTCTCTCTCTCACCGGGACCAGCCATGGATTAAGGCTGGGGTCCTGTTCAGACTGCCCCCCAGGCTAGGCCGAGGCCTGGGGGTGGGCATTGGCTGATGTAAGGGAAAAGGTTTCCCTGGGGCCTCCAACATGGAGGAGGCCTGAGAGATGGAAAGAGCAAAAGAACCAGGACCAGTGCAGGCTCTTAAAGTACCCTGGAACCGTGTGGGCTTCAGAGCATGGTCGTTATTTTTCCTGGATTGAGGATCTGCATCCATCTGGACTGTCTGGTACATCAGTGGCTTTCTGATGTGGTCAAGTGGATCTGCATTGCTACTTTTACAAGATCCGGTAAGTCTGGAGCTTCTGATGGTTACCCCTAGACACCTAGAACCCAGTTTACTTTGCATTCTACTACTAGGGTGGACATCAATTTATGGGCACCAGAAGAGGGCGGATAGTGTTAATGGGCGCAGCTGGAAATCAACCCTAGACCGACTAGATGTGGAGCGGGCAAACAGCGGCTCCCTGCGGGGAGTTATCGCTACATTCTAATAAACTCTATTTGTAAACATATTCGTTTTAATTTCACAGAAATACACTTTTAGGTCAACGGAAAGAATGAAATGCTTTTGGGTTGATAGTAAGAATGTGCAGAACACGACGTCGAATTTGCTTTGTCCTCACCCCGTAGATGAACGGATTCATGAAAGCTGGAAATACAATGTAGATGTTGGCCAGGAAGATGTGGACATTATGGGGGACAGTCTTCTTCCCAAACCTGTAGGTGACAAAGGAGAAGATTCCCGGCAGGTAGGCGCTGATGATGACGCAGATGTGGGAGCCACAGGTTCCTACCGCTTTGTGACGAGCCTCCCTGGAGGGCATCTTGAAGATGGTTCGTAGGATCATGGCATAGGACAGGCCAATGAACAGCAGGTCAAACCCGGTGATGAAGAGAGACAGCGCCAATCCGTAAACACTGTTAATCTGTGTGTCCCCACATGCCACATTGACCACGGCCATGTGATCGCAGTATGAATGCAGCACAACATTGCCACCGCAGTACTGCAGACGTCCTACTAGAACTGGGATGGGGAAGATGACCACAACTGCTCTGGCCAGAATAACAAAGGCGATCTTTTCCAGAAGGGAGTAGGTGAGGACAGAATTGTATCTGAGAGGGGAACAGATTGCCATAAAGCGGTCGTACGCCATGGAGGCCAGTGTGCCTGACTCAATGACTGAGAGGCAGTGGACGAAGAACATTTGCGTCAGGCAGCTGGTGGCATCGATAAGACCGTCGTCCAGCCAGAAGATCGCCAGAGTCTTTGGCACAGTAGAGCTGGAGAAAGCCAAGTCATTGAGTGCGAGCATTGAGAGGAAGAAGAACATGGGGGTGTGGAGGCTCTCCTCGGTTTTTATTATGTATAGTATGGTTCCATTTCCCAGGATAGCCAGGACATAAAGGGAACAGAAGAAAATTGATGTCCAGACAGATCCTTCCTGCAAACCCGGGATCCCAATCAGGAGGAACGCTGAGGGCATGTGGAAACTAATATTTGGAACAAGGGGCATGGTCCGTTACTGGTGGGATGAAATAATCTCCCCATTCACTAAGAGACACAAATAAATACAAATTATAAGAGGTATCAAAGAGCAAAAACGATATACGGCTCAAATGCATCCACATATTCAAGAGGAACTCAAACCAAAACCTTTTTTTTCTACTCCTGCCCCAGACAAAAAGTTGACAACATTGTTTCTGGGGCAGGAAGTGAAACCTCTCCAACTGGGACATGGCAGCAAGGATCTCACCCTTCTCAAAATCTTCAAATAATGCATTCCCCCTTTAAATGCAGCACTTGCAGAGAAAATGGCTTGCATGTGAGATGTCTTGTATTCAGGGCAGCCATCAGAAATTTTAGGGCCCCTTAGACGGTTTTAGGCTGCCCCCCCTCCCGCGCCGCTGGACGCCTGAGAGTGACCCTGCAGAGCCCACCATAGATGCTGCACAGCCCATCTGAGACTGTCTATGGTGGGCTCTGAAGGGGTCTCAGGTTGGCTGGTCAGGGCTGCATCCCTCCCCTCCCTCCTTTCCTTCCTAGCTCCTCTTACCTGCACACATGGCCTCGTCTGCCGCCGGACCGGCCAGAAGTGACGTCACTTCCGGCCAGTCCGACATCAGACGAGCAGCGTCGCTGATGGGGCCCTAGCTTGTCTTAAAGCCACTGGAGCGGCAATGCTGGGGCCCTGCGCTGCTAGGGCCAGGCCTCCCCCTCCTCGCCCTTCACCGCCGGCCGATAGTCATGTAAGGGACCCGGGCGGGCCCCCCAGGCTGCCCGGGCCCCTTACATGAGTATCTGCCGTACCCCCCTGATGGCTGCCCTGCTTGTATTAAATGCTCAGCTGGTATTCTTCAAATACATTCTAAGTAAGTAGTTAAACATGTCATGAGTATATTTCTTAATTCATATATATGTGCCCGAATACTTACATACATTCCGATCTCCCCCTGCCAACTTGTAAGGGATCCCCGCTGACTGCGCATGCGCCAAGCGCGCGTCCTCGTATTGTTCGGGACCACGCTGTTCCGCGCAGACGCTATTAACTTTCAACGCGGAAACGCGCCAAAGTGGCGCACAGGAAGTGACTCATCACATCTATCACTTCCCCTATATAAGCTCGGCCACAGCACCACCATGTTGCTGGATTATTGTCAGCTATCTTCTGTTCCTGTGCTCCTGTTATCTTCAGCTTGACTCTTTGTGACCCGTATTCCCCCGACGACTCCTGCTTGCTGCCTGCCCTTGACCTCGGAACTGCTCATTGGACTACGCTTTTGCCTGACCCTTCTGTACCTTGATTGCCCGCTTGGATCTGACCTCGGCTTGTCTACTTGGATTACGGCTTGCATGGTGTTCACCACCACTGGCACTCCTGCCACTTGCTGTCCTGCTGGTCTCTGTTCCCATCCCCTGAATCCTCAGGACACAAGGTGCAAGGGAAGCCTCCTCTCACATACGGTCTCCAACCAGGTACGTGACACAACTCCAGGTCGCAGAGCGCCACTTCTCTGGAATCCGGAGAGGGGAGAGCGCTCAAATGCATTGTTCAGGAGGGGCAGCCTAGGTGCAGGGCGGAGGCCACACGGCAGTGGTTTCCCACACATATATCTCTTTCTATGGACCCAGGTAGGTGCCAGCCTGGAGCGAGCACGCAAAGTTGGCTCCATGGCACCCTGTAAGTGCATGAGGCCACCTGCGAACAGTACCCGGGAGATCAGAATTTTGAGAGAGAGAGAAAGCAAAGCAAACAAACGCTACAAAGGAAAACCAACCATCAAAGATGGTAAGTGCTGAGGTCTGCAGTGCTATATGTTCTTTTCAGAATAACACTTTAACTGTGATTTGAATGGAGGCCCAAAAACAATGGAAGTAAAAAAAACAATTCACAATTGGCATGACACTACCGGAACCTTATGCAGACTCAAGATCCAAATGAATGTGTTCCAAATCCTTCCAAATTGCTTCCAAATCCACCAACAAATCTTCAATGTCCTCATGGGTCAAATTAAAATTATTATACAGGATTTATATGGCGCCAACAGTTTGCGCAGCGCTTTACAATATAAGGAAGACATTACAATCACAATACAATTCAAGACAAGATGGTAAGGAGGGTCCTGCCCCTGAGGGCTTACCATCTAAAAGGGAGGGGCAAGTGATACACGAGGAGGTAGCTGTGTGGGGATGAATTAAATCTGTTTTACTTTAGGCAGTTTAGTTATTGTGTCAGAACCTGGATAAATGAAACATTACCAATTATGTCTTATTAAAATATTCTTCAAAAAGCCCTTTCTATTCTATAACTACACTTCAAATCTATGGACTCGTTTGGTATGGTATCTCAGGACAAGGCAGTATAGTATTTCACGGCCTCATGCCGGTCATAGGTACAGGCTGTTAGAGAAAATGTGGACAGTTACCATCACACAAACCTGTGAACATTTTGGGGGTTATTCACAAAGGAGCCGAAGGATCCAGACGTAGCTTCGGCTGATCCTTCGGCTATTTTCGGCCGCCGGATCCCTTCGGTTCAGTCGAACGGAAGGGCTACTGTACAGGCTATTCACTATAGCCCGTACAGCAGCTGAAGGCAACCAAGCGGCTCAGCCGAGCCGAAGGCATATGCTTCGGCTCGACTGAGCCAAAGTGACACCTGAAGCGTGGGGAACGGCCTGCCGAAAGCCGGCCGAAAGCCCTTCAAATGACAGCTGGGCGGAGCCAGCCGTGATCTCACAGCTGGCTACACCCAGTTGTAATGACAGATCAGCGTCCCCAAATGACCTCGGGACGCCGATCTGTCATTAAACAATAACAACTGGGCGGAGCTGGCCGTGACGTCACGGCCGGCTCCACCCAGTTGTTAATTATTGGCCGGGACCTGCTAGAAGACTCTAGCAGATCCCGGCCAATAGGAAATAGTTGGGCGGAGCTAGCAGTGACAGAGTTAGCAATTGTTTTGGTTTTTTCTTTTTAAAATAATCTTGATTTATTTTTTTACTATTTGTTTACATTTTTAAAATATTTTTTCAACTTTGTAATCTTTTAAAACTCTTTTCATTGATGTTTTATTCTGCTCGGTACCACGGAGGTACCGAGCAGAATAGCCGAGCCGAATGCTGCTCGGCGGCATTAGGCTATTCACTCACCGCCGTTCGGCCCCTATGAGAATAGGGGCGAATGGCAGCGTGTGAGCCGCAGGAGCTTCGGCTCAGCCGATTCAGATGTTGGATTGGCTGAGTCCAAATCCTTCTGCACTTTGGCTCAGCCAAACATCCAGAACATGTTGGGCCGACCGAAGTGCAGCCGATGAAATCAGCCGCACTGACCCGGAGTGAATAGAATTGTACTGCTCACTTCACTTCGGCTGGGTTATTCACTCGGCTGCCTTCGGCAGTTTTGTGAATAACCCCCTAGTGATCTATTAAACCCCTGATGTCTCCCTAAAGAGTCATCTGCACTATGGTATCACATAGGGGTCTCTGCTTACAGAAAATAGATATGGGGAGGGGGGGTGGGGGGTGAGTTATGTAATCTTCAGGCCTAAAATGTGCATTTTAATATGCAAAAAAAAAGAAGCAAAATTGACAGCAAAGGGGTTAGGTCCTTCGTAGGTATAGCGGGCATCATGATTTCTCTGATCTCATATACTGTTAATGGGAGGCGCCATGATAACACAACAATTGGCTCAGTAAATATAGTCAGCAGCACAACACAGTTACAATGTAGCAAAGAGAAGACACAATGTAAACATAATTATATATAAAATGATTGTTACAGCAAGCTGTGTGTCTGGAGCTGTACACTGGCCTGTATATAATAATCCGGCCACTCGGTGTATATAATAATCCGGCCACTCGGTGTATATGTCCTCACTTTGTATTGGGCTGTAAAAGATGTTTCTTATATATATAATAATATCATTGTTTTAGTTCCTGCTTGTGTCTGCACAGAGGAGCTGCTGTCATAATACACTGTATATAATAGGAATGGCACCACCATACATAGTAGAGCATTAACTCACCGTCTCTGTTCTCTATGCACAGAGCCAGGAGAACTGACAAGTATATAAAGCTGCTGTGACCGATCCCAAAGCCCCGCAGGGTCATTCCCAACACAGCCGCAGTGTGTATAATTATAACTCTGCATCTGCCATGTGGTCCCATAAGACGGAAGAGTCCGGCTGGAATAATAATCACAGAGCTCATCATACCGGTTACCTTCACGCTACCGCTGCTGAAAAACACAGAGCCAGTTACCACCTTGCTGGAGGAAATATTGGTATGAAGTATATGGCAGGGGAGGTGTAGAGTTGGCCGCGACCCTGGAGAAAGAACAGTTCTGGGTGGGAAACACACCAGGAGCCAGAGGAGTAGACGAAGGAGGAAAACGGAAAAGCTTCAATATGTCAAGTGTTGTCCTCCTCCCCACCATCCATAGGCAGGGGGTATCACCATGGAGGACTGAGAACATTTGGTCTGGGGTGCAAATACAACCAACTGGCCCATTCATGCTAGGAAGAGTTTCCTGTGGGATAAAGAAAGTCTATCATTGGGCCTCAGTGGTGGTTGGGCATGGCCAAAGGTGAATGTTGTCTTCAGGGGTGTCTCTAGACGTTACCTCTGACTCCGGCCAGCATCCTGCCCAGCTCACTGACGTCACTGGTTGCCCGGAGCTGGCCGTGATGCTGGCCAGAGTGTTCCAGGTTGCTAAGAGCTTTTAGCAACCTTGGAAGTTCTGGGTCCTGAGTGTAGAGTCAGCCGCGACCCTGGAGAAAGAACAGTTCTGGGTGGGAAACACACCAGGAGCCAGAGGAGTAGACGAAGGAGGAAAACGGAAAAGCTTCAATATGTCAAGTGTTGTCCTCCTCCCCACCATCCATAGGCAGGGGGTATCACCACCAGGGGGAGGACGGAGAACATTTGGTCTGGGGGGGGCAAATACAACCAACTGGCCCATTCATAGTGGGAAGGGTTTCCTGTTGGATAAAGAAAGTCCATCATTGGGCCTCAG